AAGGTTTGTCCACATAGTTCCACATGTTCCCCTAAAATTAAATAGGGAAACCACCCCAACAATGATGGAATTCGTAACTACCACTCAGCAGCGCAATGCCCTTCCTTCCTCAGTGGCATTATTTAAAACAGAATTTGCTCAAGAAATCATCTGTTTTTCTACTGTAGAGATACTTCACCTTCTTGGCACTTACACTAATACTGGAAACTAAATTGGTTTTCTCTAAACTAGAATAACAATTTCAACTTGGAAAGGAATCTTAAGATGTCCTAATGCTGCTCAATCTAGAATTACTGCAATTTTAATTCTTGTACTTGCTCCTCTTTCCAGAGCGAATGCTGCTCCTGACAGGCTGTACTTGGTCTTTAAAAGCAGAATTTACCCATTTTTCTTTCTTGAACGAGGAGAGGGAGATTGCATCCTGGTTACAGTATTCCACCACCCCTCAAATTCATTATATGTAGAGTGAATAATGTACTATTTTTGTACATTATATTATTTGTAATATTTTAATCCACTTTTTCAGAGCTAGACTGCCAAGGCTAAAACGCAACAGTAACTTCCCTATCTTAAAAACACAACTTCTCAGAGCAGACTTCAGGCAGCTGGAACAGTCTACAATATGTCATTCATTATACCTAATTGGAAAGGTGGATGTTCATATTTCCCTAAAAGCTGAACAATAAGCTTCATTAGCCATTTCTAGAATCTCACCAGTGCAGGATAGGGTTCATCCTTCCTTAGCTATGACAAATGTGTAACTCACCATCGGCCTATGATGTAGGAAGTGGCATAATACCCTTTATGATGTTTACTGTTCATATAAAATATTAAAAGAAGATTGTTTTTGTGCCCAATAAGTAACCTAGCACCGAAGAGATGGTGCCTTTTACTTTTAGGGGGAAACCTGATGTACACAAAGCAGTCATCTTCATAACCAAATAAAGTAACTAAGAAGAAAAGAAAACACCAAAATGGTAAGAATAGGATACACGGCTGGCATTGAACTTGGCGAAGATTACTAAGTTGTGGATCTAGTAAAAGTCCCTAGCTGTTTACAAAGCATGCCTTTGCTAAGGGAGAATGCTCCTCTTGTTTTACAATTCAAACTATTTTTTAAAAGAAATAAAAGAATAGACACAAATACTTAGAAACTAACATGACCTATAATAAAACAATGATGTAAGTTAGTGCTTCAACGTATGAACTTTCGTCAGGTAGGTTTTACAAATTTTCGTAACACCAAGATATACCTAAGAAAGCTAAAACAATGCCCCCAGTATCCTGACTGGCAGGGATGATAAATCAGTTGGCCTATCGGTATTAAGATCATATCTGTAAGGATGAATATTTTGGCTATGGTTTTAAACTGGGGTAGAAATTATAGGTTTATACATGATTGTCCCCTAAAAATAAGATTAACTGAATCAAAAGCAAATTGCTCTAAATTCTAGTAAAGTGCACTATTTTACTAAGTTATACATCTGCAATTAAGATCAAACAACTGAATAAATAGTCTCTCCTCCACACCATAGGAATGATGTTCTCTTACTCCCTTTTTCATTCTCTTGTGCACAATTAACAAGTTACCAATGAAAGAGCAGGACCATCACTTGCACATAACCTAATGATGTGATATCGCAAAGCTGGGATCTGAATCTTCTATCTGTTCTTAAAGAATCAGCAGTACCTATGGGAGGACCCTGAACTGTATTGGGGCTACAGCACTTTCCCAATTAAAATCATTCTCCAGTCCCATTGCTATTTATTCTATGAGGAAAAACATGTAGATTAAGAGGTAAAATGTGCATTATGTTTACAGCTAGAAGACATTAATAAATTCATTAAAATCTTATGATGGAAAGGTTTTCTACATATCTTACATATTTTCTTAGCCAAGACCTACAATAATTTTTAATACTACTGCTGCTATTATTGTTTAAAGTGTTATTTTTGATTAGGACATAAATAAATAATACTGCCACTTTTTAGAATTGAGCTTTATGGCATCTTGGCAACATGTCTTCCCAAACCTATACAGTATATTTAATGTTTTTTCTTCAATAATCTGATAACTGACCCAGATATACACTCAGATAGTCCAAGTGTTCACAGACAGAGAATGTCGGTGAAAAGGAGGAAGGTGAGTTTAGCTTATCCTACAACATTGATTTTTCCAAGTCTGCCCCAAGGTTGTTTTCCCCTTCTCCTCTACAGCTGGACTTACTTAGTAAGCCTAGTAGCAGGGGAAAAATACATATATTAAAAAAACAGGCAATCAGGAGAGGGGATAGCGATCTCCCACACCCTGACTTTTCTCTACAAATATCCTACATCCCATTCTTGTATTTACCATAAGAACTTCCTTGAGGGTCTTTTTTTAAAACAGAAAGGTCCAATAATAAATGAAGTAGCAAGAAAGCATAGAATTAGGAACTATTCTCCCAGCATGCAGTTCTGCCCTTTCAGTCAGCAAAAATCTGTATTATTACTGCCTATGCTACTTATTGCTATCTTTATTTAAGAGCTGTACAGGAATAAAAAGCAATGTAGTGGAGCAGGCACCATTCAGACTTCTTTTAACTTGGAATTCTAAGGCCAAACACAGAATCAATTTTTAAAGTTCGATAGGGTATAAAATCTAGCTTTTTCTACTAGTAAAAGGGTTTTTAGCAAAAGTTCTATTTCCCATCTTCTCTCAGTGGCATGAATTAAATTTCCTGTTCCACCATACCTTTTCTTAGTCTTCATTATTTAACTTAAAAGGTTAAATGCTTTTTCTTAAAATGAAGTATTAAGAGAACCTTGACTTGCAAAATAATATCATGCATATTATTAATCCCATCAAATATAAGTAACCAAACCATTTCTTGATACAACTTATGATATCTGCATTCAGAAATTTAAAACTGGAAGATAACAAATTCTTACACAGACAGCTATTAGTCTGTAAATAGCTTTAGGTTTAGGTGGCCTTCCTGACTCTGAAGCTTTTCATTGGGGTAGGGGAGTGAAGAATATGGCCTATACAAATTCATGAGAATGCAAGCAAAAATATTAACACATCAATTGTTTAGAGATCAAATTACATTTTAGAAATGATTTGCTTAGTTTATTTGCCAACATCTGGGAAAAGCTATTTAATCACTTAAACATAAATCACCAGAGGTGATTTAGCTTGTTCACCTCAAGAATTTGCCTAACCTTTCCTTACTTAACTTGGGATATGATTGATAATCTCTTTCAGATGTAGTGTTTGGGATTTATCTTAATTTTAGAAAGCATGATAGGGTATACTTTTTCAAATTCATTTTCCTACACTTTTAATTGTGCTTGTGTGTGCTGCTTTTCTGGACTGAAAGAGGATAAAATTGCCACAAACTGGTAGATGCATACTCTGATTTACACAAATGTGCCTCCATGTACAAAAATGTTATATATATACATATACATATACACACATATATATGTATAAAAAATAAAATAGGTGGAAGTTTTATGGGCCATGCACAGAATTTGTAGGTTTGTACATGTTATGGCATTTGATTCCAGGCAGGAGGGGAGAGGGGATTGCTCTGTGTTTAAAATGGATCTGTGTGAATTTGGCTGGGAAGGTGATGGGGCCTAGTTTTGTTGCTGCTTTAATTAGAGTGGGAAAGGGAAAGGAAAAGCACTTGAAGAAAAGGAACAGAGGAACACTGTTTGTTACTTGCCAGGCCTGGAAGTGCCCTGAGCTGTGCAGAATAGATGATATGAGTGTGCCAGTAATGCCATCCGCAGGCGCTGAGATGAACCTCCTGACATTGTCCAGAGGCTGCAGGACACACACTGGGTGGGCATATTCTAAAAAAGGAGAAAAGACTCCTGACAATATTATTAGACTGAAGCTATAGAAACACAGACTGGTAGGGACACATAAGGTGGCCAGAAGGCAGACAACTGGATTTAACACAGAAGAGTTTTGTCATTATTGAAGAAAAAGTGTCAACAAAGATGGAAGTGGCATCCAGGAAAGCAAGCTGGATTATTGTTGGACCCTTGACCTCTTAAAAGCAAATGAAAAAGAAAAAGGAGCGAGAAATAGTACAGTAGCAACATAAGGAGGAAGGGGAAATTTGGGGTAGATCCTTTCGACTACAGCAAAAGATAAATCCAGAAATGTTCTGTAGCCAACCAATTTGGATTTCAAAGTCTGAAGCAAATTAGACATAGGGCTAAAAATTAACCAGGCATTTCTGTTTCAACTGCAAGAAAGCAAAACTAAAAGAGAGCTGGAAAAACAGATAAAAATTAAATACAGTAGGGGCATGTGTGTATCTACACACGCCCACAGTAAAGTCAGGCTGAAAAAAGAGAGGCCATGAAAACAAAAGAAAGAAAAGGGTTCCAAACCACCCCTTCCACACTTACTCTCCCTTGAGAAACTTGTTCCTGCGTGGGACGGCAGACACTGAAAATTCATTTATGGCTCTAATCTGCCATACTATTTGTCCAGGAGCGTCTATCGGTACGTTTCCAGTTTACGAGCTGTGGGCACGCTGATACATTAAACTGATCCAACAAAAGGAATTAGGAAGAAGGGGAAAATCAAGCAAAGAAACAAAAATCTCACCCCAAAATAAGTATTTCTCAATTTGCCTTCTAATTAAATAAAGCCTTTTTCTCTTTATTGATCTGACATTTACCTAAATATTCTTATTCTATGCTCACCACCACCCCACCCCCAGCTTTCAGCAGAAGGGATTTTCTTTACTATAAGAAGTTACAGGCATCACAGGTAGGAAAGAAGCAGGAAATCAAGAAAGACTACTTGACAGAAGGACTTTTTCAAATAACTGAGCATGATGGAGTCATCCTAGTGCATTTCTCAAGTTAGCAATTTGCTAATTATGGATGAAAGGAAACATACAGAGAAAAGCAACATTTTGGAGAAAAACAACTGCCGATAAAATTAAACACAAAAACCAAAAACAGTGAGCGGTGTTATTTGAAGGACCTACCAGGAGTGTGAACAAAATACGCCAAGTAAAGATCCAGTTCTTTAATTGTGACTCCAATGTGGTGTGGCTGGACGCAAAGGCCCGGGTTTGAGCACTGCGGCGACTTGTATAGCCGCTCCCCATCAGTACTTTCAAGAGGGATCCCTTTGAACAAGATGACCATAACTAGGTCCAGCCTCCAAACCTTGTCAGCCTGCCTCAGGCAGTCAATCCTGCGAATTTTGCCTTTCTGATCTGGATTGGAGAGGACACAACACGGTGCTTTCTTGCCCGTGATGGTCAAGACAAAGTCCTCGCGAAACTCTGGGCGGATGTCCTTGCGTAGCTTGGCCAGCAGTCGGGATGCCCATTTCTGCTTGATCTCAGGCTTTTCACCAAGTAATTCATCCTTCACGGCGCGTTCCTCATCCTTTGACATTCGCTTCTCGTGCTTCTTAAAGTACTTTCGCTTCCGAGCTTGCAGGTTGAACCATGTGTAGGAAAAGGCACGGACATGAGGAAGGAGAGCTTCAATGAAGGGGTGGAATTCATCCTGGGGAGAACAGGGTGAGAAGAAAGGGTGCAAAACAAAGAAGGGGGAAATCCATTAGAATAAGAAAATCAGGAGGGGGAAACATCACTCTTAATGTGAAATTTATAGGATGAAAAAAAAAAACCCCAGCAAAGTGAGAACACATAAAGCCAAGCTCAGAATGTGATTAATCCAGCTACAAAATAAACACAATAATAGAAGAAGGGTGACAAGCAGGAATTTCGGGGAGGGGGGAGAGAAAACAGTGGAATCAACATTGTTTCAACAATGCCATTAGAATGGAAATCTAAAAAAATCAATCAACATAAAGTTAGGGAAGTAAAATGTTGGCTTCCTTTAAAAATAAAAGTACTGAAGTTTGTTTAGCAATGTAGGAATTAAAGACAAAATCAGTTCAGATCCCCCATCCTGAACCCAATGCTCTAAATATTTTCTATAAATTCAAATAATTTCAGTGGGCCTTCTAACTTTATTTTAAAAATAAAAATTTCCCTACAAATCAAAGCATCTAGGAAAAAAAAAGTCAAAAATGGAAATAATTACCATTGCTCTGTCTCATCCCGGCGAAGCTAAGCCCCCGATTCAGAAATTCTGGGCTCAGAATTGCAGAGAGTAGAAGGCGGACGATATTGGGGATATGGGGCGGAAGGTGAGGAGAGGGGAAAAAGGAGGAAAGTAAAACTGCGAAGGAAGTGCACAGAAGAGTGCTTGGATATTTCTTAAATTAAGTGGAAAATAATTGTTGGCTGCATCCTTCACTACAAACCATTCACCAAAATGTTCAAGTCTTGTTTAATAAAAAGAGTAGGAAGGCAAAAAGGAAGGATTAAAAATTGAAGGAAGGCAGCTAGGAAGGGAAACCTCAGCCAAAGACAGAAATAAATCAGCATCACTCTGCCTGTGCCACATGCACGAAATAGGTTAAAAATGCCAAATGGCTGTTAAAGAAAACACTAGCAACAATAACAGCAATAATAGTGATAAAGGGAAGAAGGAAACAAAATAAAAAAAAATAGGAAGAACAGCAGCAACTAATCAGACGGGGGAGCTGAGACGGGGGAAGAATCTCTCTCAGCGTTGGCAGAAACGCAAAGATGCAACTTAGATGTGGCTCCCTCCGCCTGAGAACAGGGGTGATCGCAGGTCTAGGGGAAAAGGGGCAGACTCCGCTCTGGGATCAGCTGTGATCGGCTGCTGGCAAAACCCAACTGCTGGGGTATGGGGGATTTTGTTGTTGTTGTTTCCCCCCTTTTTTTCCTTTCCCTTTTTCCTCTTAAACTCTCTGGCTTGCTCGCTTTCTCCTTTCATGCTCAGTCCCCAACCATTTGCCTTTGCCAATGCCAGCAGAAAAAAGAGAGAGAGAGAAGAAGGATCCACCTATTTGGCAAGAAGACCTATCGTGGAGCAGCCAATGGCTGCATCAAAGGAAAAGGGAGGTGGAGGGGGAGGTTGGCAGAGAAGGAATCAGGGAGGGGGTGGCAGAGAGAGACACAGAGAGAAAGAGACTGTGCCGCTGAGAGACTGAAAACAATTTGCCAAATCGACAAGTTCGTATCTAACGAATAAGCAAAGTCCAGCAGCAATGGCATTTTTATTGGCCAGCAGATTTTGGCTAGAATACAACTTGCAAAATATTTTAAATAAATAAATCTCCTAGGATACACCCCAAACTCACCCCCCCCCCAAGACAGTCCCACAGGCCTCAGAAAAAGCAGCTGTTCTGTCTTTCTTTCTCCATCTTATTCTCCTTCTGTCAACTCTCGGCCCAACTATTTCTACAAAAAGATCTGTTCAGCTATAATACTCTTTAAGATTGAACCAGATTTAGCTTACTTTTTTCTCAGTTCAAGCAGTGATGGAAAGTCATTGTCCCCGTCCCAGTATATTTCTTTGTAAGTTCCTGTTATCTACTGCAGACCTCAGAGAGCCAGTCTCTGTCTTCCTAGCAAAATGGGGATTGTAGCAGCCCCGTGTCCTTCTGTACCTTTCCCCTTTCTTCTGCCATTTCATCTCAACATTTGCCAAGAGCTTCAGTCCTTAGCATTAGTCGTCAACCATTAAACCTGCGATTTACAGTAGACGGACCAGCGTTCCAGATGGAATTTATTTTTTTCTTCTAACCCAAAATCAATAAATCATACGTGACAAAACTTAAACATATTGCAAAGATGTAACTATCCTGAAAGTTTTTCAAGAGCAGCTATTTTAAGATATTCTCTCTCTTTGTTGCCTGGCTTTTGATTATGTTGCAAGTTTGAAACAAAGAGTACCAGAAAAGTTGATTAAAAAATAGTATTAATTAATTTCAGATAAAAGATCTTGGGGGGGGAAGAAAAAAGTACAAAGAAAGTAGAAAACAAAAAGAGAACGTGTAATGAAAAGAAGATTGAGAAAAACAAATGGAACAGGAAATCAAAAAGATAAAATGGAGAGGATTAAAATTATGGGCAGGAAAGAGTCGATGATGATGATGATAAGCAACTGCCCTCCAAAGCTTTTGCTGCACTTTCAGTACGGCAGCATTTCAGAGAAGGCTGGGAACTCATTCTTGCTTTATTATAACCGAACCTGGCTTGCTTGTTCTTTTGTCCAGCCCGTCCAGCCCCTTAGCACCTCACCATCTTTTAAGGAGGGCAGCGACAGAGACAGAGAAGATCAATTTACAAACAAATTGGCACTGCTCATTCCGAACCAAAGGGCAATATATTCCTCTCTGCACTGCCGTAGCTTGAGTGCTTCTAGTCTTGACTAGGCTTATGTGAGTGCAGCCCCTGACGCACCAAATGCGCTCATGAGAGGTAGTCCATGGAGATAGCATGAAAGACAGGCCTATGCTGAGCTTTTCCTAATGCCCACTGCCAGCTCCAGGCCTCGCTGCCAGCTTTTCAGTGACCAAGTAGACGGCCAAATCAGAGCTCCAGATTTACATTTGCAAATCATAAGTGGACGTTTACCCTGCTTAGCTAAATTGTGTGGGGGGGGGGGGACAAATGGCTGTTTTTCATTTTTGTCCCCCACCCACAAATCTGGCATTAGCCAGTACATTAGAGCAGGGTACAGGACCCTCCAACCTCTTCCCATTCATAAACAGATTGCTTGCTTGGGAAAAACATAGGCCGCCCCACACCTCTTTGTGACCCTAGCAACAAAATCTCAGAGGACTGTGACCAAATGCCTGAACCTGTCCTTTCTTCTCCATCACAGAGATTAAAGGTGGGAGTGCAGGCAGGCAGGCAGGCAGTTGAGGTGGAAAAGTTCTATCCAGGCACAAAAGCTTGGAGATTAATTTTCTGTATCTGTGTCATGAGGGGGTGTGTGTGTGCAAGTTGAAGCATAAGAAAGTAGAATAAAGAAGATAAAGGAAAAATGAACTCCTGCCCTTTTCCCTCTCTCCTCCCTAGCCCTCCCCTCAAACATTTTCAAAATAAGTGGGTGAAATTTAAAACTCATTTGAATCTCTCGCTTCCTTGTTACCTGGGAAAGCAGAGACTCCCAACTTCTTATAAGCACAGGATTCTTCCTTTAAAATAGTGTATTTCTTTTAACTTCTAAGCAACTAATATAATTTTTGCCTTAAAATAAGATTCGATATGGAACTGAAATATACTATTCCTCTCTGTAATAGAAGGCAATGCAGAAAATTATATTTTAAAACTGACTTTAGGGATGCATATGAGAAGCTGAAAAGATCAAATTATAAATATTAAGCTGAATGAAGAAAACTGAGAGAACAAATACTGCAAACCTCATCATTCCTTCCTTATGACCAAAACTAGCCAGATTAGAAGCTCGACAGAGCACAAAACAGATGTAAAAAAAATTACAGCTTCTTGATTCTAGGTCAGATCATATTCAAGTAGCTAAAGCGAGAAATAATAATAGTAAAACTAGTAAAGCAAATGTGCTACCATATTAACTGCTGTTAAAAGTATCGCATCCTTGATTGTCTTTTTTTCCCCTCAGAAAAGGAGTACCAATATCCATGTTTTATTCAATTTTTGGGCTGGCCAGGTGCAAGTACAAACAAATGCAAGCAGGCTTGAATTCAGTGCTGGGGCTCCTTCAAGTATTTTTACTTTAAGCAACCACCTGAAGTGACAGTAGGGTTAGACTAGCCCTAACAGTATTGGTCTATAATAAGATGATACTTGGTCACAGCAAAAATTCTGATTTACTCTTTTTACTTTTCTGATGCGTAAGCTATGTTCGCATGCGACCTAATCATTATCTTGCATCACTATCACGGTTCTATGGAATTTACAGAGGTACACTGCACATGGAATTCCACACTGGACAAGCAAGCCATAATGTTATACCCAGCATTTTTTATTCATGTAAAAAAAGAGAGAGAAAGAGAGAGATGAAAGTGACAACAGCACCTTTTATTTTGCTAGTACATCCAGGTTAGTTTGAATACCGCTGTGGGTATTTGTCATTTAATCAGAAGAGAAACAGAGGCTGCAAACAAAACAATGGAAACATCGTCAAGCATCGGCACCCACTGTTGGTGATTACAAAGGGAGCTGTTGAATGTTCAAACTAGAAAACATTTACTCTTATTTAGGGATTTTATGATAGACTTATTTGAGAATGTGCACTTTAGAACAGCCATATTAGGGAAATTCACCTAATATCACAAAACCTTACCGTGGACTTAATCGAACATATATAGTTGCAATATAACTTCTATTCAAATCAGTGAAGTTCCTTGTATCACCCCCGGGTTTCCAATATTAAATAACAAAAGGTGGCCATGTAGGAGAGGTTGTCCTCTTGAGGTCTAGTAGAGAAGATTATTCTTTCTTGCATAATTATGCATATTGTAGAATAATAAACTGGAATAATATGACTGAAGAGAAAATGTGTGTGTCACTTACTCCATCTGATAAATCAATAAACAAGCAAGGAGAAATAAAATAATAAATAAACCTAACTAGAAGATACATGGTGCCTGTAGAAACATATACATTAAAGGGAAATAAGAAAGAAGGGTATATTAAAAAAGAAGCCACTCTAAAAACCTGAGGGGAAATAAATAAACTAGAGGAAGCTGCTGAGGATGAAAGCTGAAAAGGAAGAGTCAGCCATAATACCTGAAATGAAAGAGAATGTAATGGTTCTCTCTGCATCCTTTCACCAAAACAAAAGCAAAATATGTTTTGCCATCACAATTTAAAGCATCATCACTTCTACCTGCATTAACTTAAGTTCTTAAGGGAATCTTCTAAGAAAGAGTTTGTTTCAAAACATAGTTTTAAATGCTGGTCTGGAGGTAGGGGATTATGCAAAGTCTGGGAGAACTTTTGTTTCAAAATTCTATATATGTCTACTCAGGAGTAAATCTGAGTTCAGTAGGACATGCTCCCAGATGAGCATCTAGAAGACTGTAGAACCTAATTACTTCAAATAAAACTTTCCAACTCTTTGTCTATTTTCTGTGTGTGTATGTTTATTTTTGTCTTTTCATTTTTGGAGGCGCTCTCTCTCTCCCTCCCTCCTTCTCACTTTCACTCTTTTCCAGCAAGAGGATCAACTGTAAAGCTTTCTTGGGGTTGTCATAGAAACAGTCAGTAGCACCCTGGCAAACTACTTCCTTAGTGAATGAATAGCACATAAATTTCCAATCTCCACAGGGCTAGCGAGATCTACAACATATTAGCCTGTGGCTTGCTCCTGCCGTTCCCCCCCACCCCCCGGTGCAGAAATGAGAAAGCTTTTGCTAACAATGAGTCAGTGGGACTTTATGTCCATCTTGGCTGGGCTCCAGATGGGGTACAGAATTTAAGGTGGATACATCTTTCCATTATTATAAAGAATTATGTTATACAGTATCTTGCAATATACACCATGATTTAGGAGCAGAGTTATATAAATACACAAACACACAACAGAGATTAAAATAAAGCAAATTCACTAGAAGCAAAGAACAACTTCAGGCATGGGTTGGGGCAATTAAATAGTGTTTCATTATTACCCGGTAGACAAAATAATCTCTGAATATACATTTTTTT